TTTCGATACTAGCAGTCTGACCTGTTTAAGGCTAAGCACAAACTGTGCACATGGGCATCTGTAGGAATGTGAATAGCTGCAATTCTTCCGTCTTTATAATTTTTAAGCTAACAGAAAACTGTGGCAAACTCTTGATAAGTAACATTTTCGTATATATAGCTCAACTTTTAACATTTATGATAGCAGTTCTTTCTGTGGTAAAAAATATATCTTGATTCTCCCAGGCAAAAAAGCATCAAATATTGAATAATGCAAAATCCATATAGTCAAATTAAAATTAACACCTGGTGCCGAATAATGTTTTGAGAGCACATATGTTTTAATATTCAGTTCGAGTAGAAAAGCTTATAGTCTTCAGAGGAGATCCATTATATTCTCCATGGATTAGAATGATATACAGCATTTAGAGAGCTACATATGTGCCCTTTGCAAGGTTATGCTGCATATCCCAGGGCATTTGAGGCATTGCACAATAAAGTTAACCCTGAGCCTATCTTTGCTGGATAATGGCATACACCTGCCAGACATCTAGGGAAAAAATAACAATATGATACTTAGATGGTATTCCTTTAAGAAGGTCTCTCATTTTTGCAGAAGATATTTCAGCATTTAGACAGTAACGTTTGTAATTCAATACTGCTGACTAGCAGAACTGAGCATCAGAACAATTTGTAAAAGAAGCTGTTGTATCCTGTTTTTCAACTCAAATGATTACAGTCTTAATTTGCCATATTATGCACAGACGAACCTAAGTGATCACTGACTTCCAATATAAAGAATATGTTAATTAATATATTAGTTAATTAACTGTTGCTGTTATCTTCATGGAAATAGTTTGAGCTATGATGAAAGATAACGTAATTGTTTGGCTTTCTTTCTCTAAATAGAGGGAAATAAATTTTGTGTTTGCTTTGAGAAGGATGTCTGACATTGTAGTTACTGATATTCAGTGTGATTCTTGGAAGAGTTATTTTTAAGGACATCAGAAGAGCCACATGTATATAAACAAAGGGTCCATCTAGTTCAGTGCTCTGTCTCCAGTAGTATTGACAAGTGGATGCCTAGGGAGCCAGGCAACATAGCTAATGCCTTCTGCTTCAGATCTCCAACTGTTCTCCTTTCCGGGGATTTCCTGAGCTATTGAGTTTTGTCTGTTTAGCGTTTTCCATGTACCTGGGAAGTTTCCCTTTAAATGTGTATTTCTCTTGCATTCACATCCTTTGGCAAGGAGTCCCATAGGTCATGATGTATTGGTAGGATGTCGTACTCTTTCGTTTGCCTTGAACTGAAGTCTCGGTTTTGTCTTTTGATGGTATTTGATACTTTTATTAGAGTAAAATCATAGAATAATGCAATTGTTTGGGATTGAAAAGACCTCTAGTATCATTAAGTCCAACCATTAACCTAACACTGCCAAGTCCACAACTAAGAAATGTCTATAAGTACTGCTTCTAGACGTCTTTTAAATACTCCCAGGGATGATGACTCCACCACTTCCTGGGCAGCCTATTCCAATGCTTGACAACCCTTTTGGTGAAAAATTCCTAATACATAATCTAAGCCTCCCTTGGTGTAACTTGAGGCCATTTCTCCTTGTCCTATGCCTTAGGAGAAGATACCAACCTCAACCTGGCTACAACCTCCTTTCAGGTAGTTGTAGAAAAAGAGTATATGATCAGTCTCTACTCACTCATGATTCTGCATTCCTTTTTCATAGATTCCACATCTGCCATACTCAGTCATTGTTCATTACAGCCTTTTGATCATCTTTGTTTCCTTTCTCTGAACCTTTTCCCTTTTTAACATGTTCTTTTTGGCAGGAGGCAACCAGAACTACACGGAGATTTCAAGTTTCAGGCAAGCCATGAACTTCTATGACAGCAGGATGTTTTCTGATTTGTTCTCTAATCCTTTTCTAATAATTCCTAAGTTTTTATCAGTTTGGGATTTTTTGACTGCTGCAAAACAGTGAAGATAACTATCTATCATGGACTGCTTTAAATTAATTTTCTTTGTTGTATTGTACCTACCATTTTATTGTCTTTGTTGTATTGTACCTACCATTTTATTGTCTTGACATGCTGTCTTGTAAAGTCCTTCTGCCATCCTTAATAGTCTGTCCTCATCCTTATCAACTTGAATACCTTCAGATCATCAGAAAACTTTGTCATTTGGACTGTTCAACCACTTTTCTAACTCATTTATGAGTGTATTGAACAGTATGGATCCCAGTATAGACACCTTGTAGAACACCTCTGGTTACTTCTCACTATTGCAAGCACTGACTTTACTGCTAATGTCTGTTTATTCTCCTTTAGTTAATTACTTATCTGTGTAAGGCCTTCCCTTTCTCCTAACTGCTGGAGTGCAGGCACGTAGATATGCTTTTTTTTCTCTTATGCTCTGAAGAAATGCTTGGTTAATAAATTATTAAAATGTAAAAAAAACCCCACAATACAATATCACCACTGCCCCCCCTCAAAAGAAAGATACCCCAAAAAACTCCAGGACTTCATAGTTTTTGCAAAGAGAGAAGTCCTTCTGTAGTACTGAACCATTTGCCATTCCATGGCAGAAGTAGCCCTGTATGGTGGTGTGTTCATGGCAATTAAAGTTACACTGCACGCATACCAGCCCAGTCCCAAGCCATAAAAATCAGAGGTTTATGAGAGTGACACTGGAGTCCTAAGTAGCCTCTTGTTTCTGCTGTAGAAGCTGCCTTCAAATTGCCTTTTTTTTCAGGATTCTGTTGGATAAGGGTAAGATAGAATTTCAAGGATTGGGCTGATGTGTACAAAATCCATGCTTTTATATACATAAAAAAGAGCATTTTTTCATCTACTCTCTGTTAAGGCGGTACTGTAGGCTGGTAGATTAGTTCTAAGCAAAATCCAAACTTTTATTCTGTGGTCCCAAATGAGGTAGGAAATGTAATTTGAGCTCCCTGTATGTCATGAGGTCAAAGTCTACTCACTTGGGATTTGAGCAGGTGATTTGAGTATCAGCCTCAGTAAAATAAGAGTCGGTGAGTACCAAGTAATTTTTCTAAGATTGTAGAGATGGAATCCTAATTTTCATGTATTGCTGTGAGGCTGGAATGCAGATGTGTTTAAAGGGTTAACACTGTGGCTCAATCAGAAAGAATGCTTGGCAATAAGAGGAAGCCTGGATTAATGATAGAAAAGAATTCTTAGCATTTTACAGCAGTGGGTATTTGAGATGAGACATAGCTAATGATCAACTAAAAAGGTATTTGCAGCTGTGGTGCTACCTCTCCCCATAATGCCAACGTTAATCAAGCTTTTTCATGCAGCTTTTCAGTCAGTTCTATTTTTCATTGTCCTGGATAGAAAACAGAGCTCATGCCCTGTTACACTGAGTCAGAGACCATACTTCTGTGTCACCAAAAATGATCATACCTTATTGATTTCTAGAAGCTGCACTTTCTGTGCTGTGAAACAAATCCATAGGAAAGTCTGTAACAAAGCCAGTTTAAAGGAAAAAAAGCCTCTTGTAACCCCAAACTATAAATACCTCTGGGATGTGGAGCACTTATCGCCATGAATTAACTGCTCATATATTTTATTTGAGTCTTGAATTACAAAAAAAATCAGCTATAATTACAGAGTCTCTAAGTCTAGTTTTGGAGTCAGCCATCTTGGTGAAAGACTTTGGCAGTGCAAAAAGCCAGTGAAATCGTGTAAGTCAATGTCCTGGCTGTTCTGATCCTGCCTTTGGAGTCAGAAGAAAAGATTCATTATAGTGAAAAATGAAACATTTGACATACAAGTTATTTCCAAAATGGCTTCAATCTTTTTAAATAATGAACCCTATTGAATCCTAACTTCTCAGCAAATGTTCATTATCTAAATTCCTTAAGTAAACTACACGTGATGAGCTTTTGAAACACGAACATGATCTTCCCTCATGTAAACAATCCTCTGCCTTTGTTGCCCGATGCTATCACATTTGGGTGTACACCCTTCTGGATTGCAGGCCCAAGCCTATAAAATCTCACTATCAAATATCTACACTGATCTGCAGATGCTTTATGCCTCTGCTTAACAGCCATGACTCATCCCGTTAAAGTCAACAAAGTTACAGTAGTAAAGTTAGGCGTGTGTTTGCAGAAATAGATCCAGATTCTCAGAAGTATTTAGGTAATTCAAGATGCAGAGAGATGACCATGGGGAAATTTCATACTTGTGTGACTAATCTCCCTAAGATCTCCTAGAATCTAGAGAAGAGGGAGAGAGAGGAAAGGCTTTTGCAAAGGGTCTTCAGAACAACTAAGTTAGGCTCCTGTTTTGGAGCATCTCCTAAAGGACCCTCCAGCATTCCCTGTCATTTAAGAAGTGCTTTGAATGCTCTGTCCTGGACACCTGGTGGGGGCCTAGGTGCCCAGCCACATCTTGCAAGGAGCTTGTCTGAGCAATAGCCATGTCGCCAGCTCTGGGAATCAAGCTCTGTGTACTTGTGGCTCTGCCCACAGCGACAATCTGCGCCTGCCATAGCTTTGCATTCTAATGGCCCCACATGCAGCAAGACTGTTGACACAGGTTAAAGTTTGCTTTTCAAGCTAAAGAACCAAAGTGAGAATAAATGGAAATATATCGGACTTCTGAAGACCTGGAGTTTTAAGATTTTTTTAAATAGATGTTGTAGATAAAATTCTTCATTCTTAAGTGTACAGGACTGATTAAATGAACCATCTTCATTTTTTATGGTGACTGAAATTAAAGGACTAGGAAACATGCAATGACTCCTTCACATTTTAATAAATATGGTGTATTTGGAGGATCCTCCAACAGCCATGATTTTGCTGTATTAAATAAAGTAGATTTTATAGCGCTTTAATCAGATCATGATGGAACATTATGCAAAATATTATGCAATGTAATGCAAAGTAATTAATGCAAGCAGAGAACGTGAGACTGCTGAGCAGCATGCATTTATGTCACATGCTGCCTGCTGATTTTCAAAATTTCTCTCTTTCTTAGATAGTGGTTTCCCGTTCAGAACCCACAGCTCCACATGTCAGCTTTCAGCTAGACTCCCACCCTGTCTCTCCCCAAGTTGTTGTCAAGAATTCATTAGCAGATGATGGCTATACCCTGGTAGTGACTGGGGAAAAGGTGAGTGGTTCATACTCTAATCCTTCTGTGCACTGCGTAAACCTGCCTTCACAGCACCAACATTCAGTAAGAGCAGCTGTTCACACCACTGCCTTACGTGCTGCATCCTCACAGCCTTGCTATTCCCTTGGGAACACTCTGGGGAGGGGGGCAAGTTTCCTCCAAGATATTTTTTCCCTCTACTGAACAAACCAACAGGCTAATATTGAGAAATGTTTAAATAACGTAAGAGCT